CCAATAAATCACGAATGAGTAGTCAAGTCTTTCCAGATGTGTACGGATTCTATTAGGTTCTATAGTTTCTCTCTGATACACGAGCCGCTTCTGTAGTAGTGAGCAGACTGCTATTACAATCGGTGTCACGTCTACTTACTATGCGCCTAGATGCTTCGCCGCCCACTCGACGTGATCGTCAGCAAATGTGGCCATGAAGTAGTAGCTGTGATCGTAATCGGGCTGCATGCGCAGTTGAATGCCCTTGTCATTGCCAGCTTCCTTGGCTGCCTTGACGAAGTTCTCCGGTAGAAGCTGGCCTTGCTTGTAGAAGTTGTCTCCAGTGCCCTAGCTCAGTTAGTAAAACGACACAAGACTGTCGCATATGATACGCACCACATCGATGAGCATCTCAAGAGGACCCTTCCATTGCTTGACCAGCTCTGACGCATCATGCTCCTTCCACTTTTGTTGCTGGTCCTCGCCAAAGTATCCCTTGAAAGCTTTTTGGCCCCATGGGCAGTTGATGGGGTTGGCGATGGGTGCGAATGCAGAGACAGACTTGTACATGCCGGGGTTCTTGAGGAACTATCGATGGTGGTCAGTCTAGTCCTCCTGGTATGCAAGCAGCTGACCAACCAGTGTCAATGCGCCGTGTCCACCCATGCTGTGCCCTGTGATGCTGACTTTGCTGGAATCTAGCTCTTTGAAAGACGAGAACAGCGCTTCGGGGAGCTCTTTGGTGATGTATGAGTACATGTTGTAGCCCTTTGACCATGGCTCCTTGGTGGCATCGACGTAGAAACCTGCGCCTGACCCGAAGTCGTATGACTCGTCTTCACCTTCGATCTGTAGGCCCCCTAGTGAGTGGGTTAGTCAAATGCTCCGCGTATAGTCTCACGGTAGGCACGCACTCGGTGAAGTATCAGGGTACACGACAGCGATGCCATGTTTGGCTGCGCCGTGCTGGAAAAACCCCTTTTCTGAGCAGTTGTTGCCGGTGCATGTGAGGCCGGAAAGGTAGAAGAGAACTGGGACCTTGGCGCCGGACTTGAGTGCTTGTGGAGGCAGGAACACGTTCAGCTCCATGTCGGTGTTTGTGCTTGAAGACTTGTGCTTCAACTTGAGAAGCTTGCCGCCGAAGGATGCGATGGTGCCTGTGGTTTCGAAAGACATCTTGGACAATGTGGTATAGCGAGAAAAACGAACAGTAGGAGGTTGGAATGCAAACGCAGGTAGAGGGGCCCTTGGAAGTTTTGTGAGCAGGCGCATTGAGTGACGTTGTGCCTGAAATTAGTGCGGGGGACGAATAGCTATGTCGAGCTACCCCACCTCCCTCTAGACTTTTGGCTTGTTACAGAAATCTTATCCGCGGATCCGCACAGCCAACGGACAAGGCTTGGAATTAACGGAGATCGGGTGAGACTCGGGATATAATTGCGCAACCACTCAGAGACTCCTTTCGCCGAAATACCCCATATTTAGCCAAACAAAACTCCATAGCAAATGCAATCAGCCACACCACGCTTCATGTCAGAAGCTCTTCGCAAGTCCAGTCCTCGTAGAAACCATCGGGGAGGTACCGCCGTACAACAAGGGGAATCTTCTTCTCTTGGAGCTCTTTCGCAGCAATTTGCAGAGGGTCCGTCATTCCCTCTACGTCGATCAGCACGGGAGCGTTACCACTGCAATCTCATTAGTCCTTGTACATACACCCTCCCTCTGAAGGTAGTCTACCTGATCTGAAGTGCTCTTGTGCCCAAGACGCGTGCCTTCTCGTACTTTGTCATGTATGGGGTGGTTGTGCGCTTGTCGTTCGGAACCTTCTTGTCCTTTTCGCTTGTGACTGTGTTCTTGGAGGCTTCCTTGGCAGCAGCTGCCGCGTTGGCATCGCCAGATACTACTACGTTGTCGTCGTTGGGTTCGGCATTGTCTGGGTCTTCACCGCCGCCAGGCTGGTCGTCTTCGTCGTCCATCAGATCAGGCTCGGCCTCTTCGTCGAACTCGATGAGGGGCTCGTCACTACTGAAGTTAGAATCGGCGGGACTGTCTCCTACCGTTCCCCTAGCTGATGCGCCCGGTGGAGGAAACCCAGAGATGGAGCTGAACGTACATGTCACCGGCGCCGCCGTCGTAGTCGTCACCGCCATAGTCGGACATGTTTGCAGCAGGTTTCTACGCGCGTGCGTGTCTCTGGAAGGGATGCCGAGAGATGGAGAGGTACGCGTGGAGTATGGGGTGTATGCCTGGTGCGATGCGACTGGCAAAGAAAGTTCGCGATCAGAAATCGCAGGGGTCGGCGTCTGCACTAGCGTGGGAAATCTTGGCGGTCGCAAAATACAGTGGAGCTCGACTTTCGTCCATGGTTCTGCGCATCCACGAGCCGCCTTGCAACCACGCGCACGTTGTATGCAATACTATGGCGCCGAAGCGGAGAAACACCGAAGACGCTGGTGTGGCGCCACAGAAGAGGTCTCGCAACAGTACCGTAACCCCGAGCACCGTGACGTCGATCCTGAAGGCTAACATTCTCGGAGGTGTTGCGGAGGACAAACCCGACCAGGACTATACGACAGACGACTCTGCTGATTACAAGGTCAATTTCACCGACAACGGCACTTTGAGGGCAGAGAGCGAGGCCCGTCGCCAATGGAACTACGTCTGCCCAACCTGCTCGCAACGCTTCAACCGACCATGTCGCCTCGAGACACACATGCGAAGCCACAACAAGGAGCGACCATTTATCTGTACCGAGCCCGGCTGCAACAAGACGTTCCCTCGTAAAGACCACTTACAGCGTCACCTCAAGAACGCCCATAGCGACCCTGCGACCGAGCGGACATTCACATGCGATTGGACCGGGTGTGGCAAGAGTTTCACCTCCAACGGCAGGCTCCAGAGGCACAGAGACGTCCACGAGTCCAAATTCTACTGTACCGACTTCCCCCCCTGCAACGAGGCTTTTAGGAAGGCGAAGGCGTTGGAGGCACACGTCAAGATCCAGCACATGGACGTCAAGCCCTTCACTTGTTCTCACGTGGATCAAGAGACCGGCGAGAAATGCGCGAGTGGCTTTCAGACCGAGGGCGCATTACAACGGCATATGGGCAAGACACATGCAGACATACAAGGGCAGGGCCACTTCTGCATGCTGTGTGCGACGGCTGGAGTAGACGCGGACACAATGCAGAGCGAGTCTGTTGACACATCCACCATCCCGCCACACTTACCGTCTTTCGCGACAAAAGACGAGCTGAACGTGCACACCGCCGAGTGTCACCCACCTATATGTACACAGTGCGGTCAGAAGTTCAAGACTGCATCCAATCTCAAGACACACTTCGACACCGTCCATGGGCATCCACAAGACCAAACGCAGTTCGCTTGTCCCAGACTAGGCTGTGAGAGTGTCTTCAATCGGAAACACAACCTCACTGTTCACATTCAGACGGTCCACGACAAGCAGTTCAGGTACTCATGTACCCCCGATGCTCTGCAGAATTCAAAACACCCAGATCTCCAAGCCTGGAACGGAGAGAATGCCTGTGGCGCCTCCTTCAAGGCCAAGTCGTCTCTCGATCAGCATGTTCGGAAAAATCATCTTGGTCTCGGCAACCGCAAGCAGCTCCGGAAGGCCGCAAAGTCAAAGAAGAAGCCGGAGCCTTCGATGCTTACCATGCTTACCGGTGTTGGCTATGAGCAAGGCCGCGAGGTGCCCTGTTTGGTGAAGACGTGCGAGTACCGCTTCTACATGGACCGTGATTTACGCCGTCATCTGCTCGCAGAGCATTATATTCCCGAGGACGAGATCGAAGACATGATACAGGAGCGCGATGCTGTCAGTGGGGGGCAGTTCTGGATTGGTGGGTTCGACGACTCAATGAGCATGTTCGACTCTGCTACGCCCAGCATCCCAGAGACGCCTGCTCCATACCTCATGGAGAGCAACATGCCGATGCTACCATATTCTGACTTGAAGAGCATGGATGGGCAAAATGCTTTATTCGATCAGCAATTCGACCAGCTCTCACTCATAAAGGATGACGCTGAGATGGACATGGCGATGGGGTTGGGTCACCTGCCACCAGCCACGGACGCCCAAGAGAGTTTACAATGGGACATGCTAGCCCCCGTTGAGCAGTACAACAGCGATCTCTCTCGTGGCTGAGACAGCGATGCCTGTCAGAGCTGCCGAATGCAATCGTCTGTGGAAGTTGGTGGAGGTTTTCCCATGCCCGATGTGATGGCCGTCAATGATGTTTTCACGAGTTTCACGAGTTAGCAAGATACCCAAATAGTAATTAAATCATGTCAAATACGGGAGCGTCCGATACTCCTGCCATGAACCCCAGATCGCAAACTTCCCCATTCGGCCTGTCAATCATGCCAAGCCGTCGATTCTAGCGAACGGCGTTCGGTCGCTACTCGATCGCCGTAGGGGCGGGGAAAAGCTCCGTAGGATCCAGGCGATCGGGCTGCTAGTCCTAGTCTGCCACACCTCTTCTTCACGCCCAAAGCTATGGTTCACTAGTCGATGAGATTGTATTAGCAGAGACCTTATTCTAGTGTGGGCGCCTGGGTCAGACCAGATCTATGGGAGTATCGTTACATTTATATTTTGGCTTTCCAGAGACGGTGGGTTCAGTGGCTGCAGACTTCATTGTAAATCATCTCATTACAATATAACGTATATCTAGTTATCCAATCAAACAAGATTGGTCTGTTACATATAAGCGGAGCATCTCTCGTGATAACAACATCTAAAAACCGTGTGTAGAAAATGCGTCTTCGCAAAGGTACAAAAAGGGTATAAAGTCGCGAAGATGGAAACCCGCCGATGCCGCAAAGGATGGAGAATGACTGCGCGTCTGAGCATTTGTGTTCAAGTAAACGCCTCGCTACGCTGTAAGATGCTGACGAAAATGGTGGTGCTGCCCAAATCAACGTCAATGGAACGAACAGATATCGCACAGACGGGAGGTGCGATGTTTCAGAAATCAAGAGCAGCCAAGGCCGTCGCATCATGCCGCGGCCTTGATGTACTGAGCTAGCAAACTTGCTTCGGGTATGGAAATCGTGTGATCCGCTTTGCGAGGTGGCCAGTCTTCGTGTTCGAGTTCTACCGTCAGAGTCGTGTTGTGCTGCGCTTCCCAGTCTCGCCGCCATATTTCAAACCTGAGATCCCACCTTTGTAGAAGCCTCTTTCTTCTTAATTCGATAACGGTTTCAAGCCTTGCCAGCTCCTTTTGATATTCCGCTTCTTTTGCAAACTTCTTTTTCTCGTGCTCAATGCCTAATTGCTGCAGCTCTGCTTCTTGTGCTTCTAGTCTTCGTGCGGTGTCCATCTCTTGCCTTGCTCGTAAGACGTTGATTGCACTCGCGTGTCGTCTGGGAAGATCCTGTTGGATTAATCTTTGGTGGTCCAGCTTCTTCAAGTCTTCCTCCGACACAGCATGCACACGCTCTTGGTTGCTTCTCGTACGTAGGCAATACGCCTCAATATACTTTAGGGCTGTTGCTACGTTCTGTGTCTCTTGAGATTGTGCTTTCAACAGGTCGTGTTCAGCGAGAAGTTGTCGTTCTTCTAATCGCTCCAGGTCCTCATTGTGCTACATCGCTTGAGTCAGCTGACGTATATCACATCAACACGAATTATACTTACCTGTCCGATCCGTTCGTTCTTATCAATCTCAAGCTGTGCTCCCAATTGTTGCATTGAACAATACTGGTATGCTAACAAGGCTTTTCTTTGGCTGCACTCGAACAGCGAGACACGTGCGAGCTCTTCCTTCTGTTGTGTCCTGTAACTTATAAAAGCCTCTTTAGCTAACACCAAGCCGATGCTGATCGCCTCGTGTCGGGTGCGCCTCATTGAAGATTGTAGCAAAGTGGAGGAAATGTCTGAAACTAGAGAGTCGACTATGGGATGTGAACTGTCAGCAGTTGAGGTCGCAATTTCGCAGTAGCCAGAGTCACGGGAAAGAGGCTCAGGCAGCTCGGTAGCAGTCTCCATAGCGAGCCTTGGATCGTCTTTTGCTGAGACGCGCTCCAGAATGGATTGCGGTAATGCGCTTCCACAGCAGTCGGGCGCTACGTGTGCGCCTCTCTTTGATGACTCTTGTATATGTGCGCGAACGTCGGCGTCAGACGATATGTGACCGCATACCAGCTTTGCGCCTCGAGGCCTGCTGTGATATCCGTGGTGCGGCGCGGACGTGGTGCAAGTACTACTAAAAAGACTTAGTAGGAAGCTGTCATAAGTCACTGTCCATAACGTACCCTGAATCCCTTCTGAACATGGAGAAAATGACGGAGCCCCGTTTCTTCCTTGGTTGCGCTTGCTGTGACGAGGCTGAGCTGGAGATGGCGGAAGGTGTGATGGACAGTGTCGATGATTGTCTTGACTGGAAATCAGATTCGGGACGGTCAACAAAGTCTCGAGACTTCTCAACAGGTGACGTAATCTGTGAGCGTGCTGGAGGTACCCTTCTTGTGGTTGAGCCGTCAGTGGAGAAAATGTGGTCTCTGGAAGTTCGGGAAGGCGCGGACGTGAAGCTTGTTGACTGCGTTTCTTGAGAGTGAATTGATCTGGAACTTCTCTGATCGCTATCCAGCGTCATAGTCGAGATTGCGCGAGAGATGGTTTCTGGCGGGGGTACGAAACGATAAGGATCGGGGATACCAGATTCGCGAGCAAGCAGCGCCACCTCGGCGTCGAGATGGTCCTCATTCTGATTCATAGGCAGACCCAAGGCTTCGGCCAGATATATAGCATCGTCAAATATGGGAGCCGTGCCGAGCGCAACGGTTTCGTCCCATATACGGTCAGGCATTGCGCCGGAGCGCGCATGCACTTGGCTGTTGACTGATGTCAAGAGGTCGCTACCAAGACATGCGAGCGGCGCAAGGGTAGTCTCTTCTTGCGCAGGACAGGCGGCACCGTTGGGAGGGCGGCACACAAGCTTGGACGACTAACAGAGGGGTGCAGCAAACAGAGGGCGGGTCAGGTGTCGAGGACGCACGACGGTGTGAGAACCTTGGAAGTGTGGTTGACATACGGATGGAAGGAGTGGGCGCTAGAGCATGGAAGACGGGCGCCCACACGCCCACTCTGCAGCAGGTGGATCATCTGCTGATGCTGCATTCAGCATGTCGCCTGCAAGCCATCCCACCCGCCAAACACCGATATGACATCTGTCCATGGCCCGCTAATGAGTTTGCGCGCGCCCGTCGAACGCGGCTATCCGACCGACGTTGCGCCGTCCTTTTCGTCATGTCGCACTTTACATGTTTCGCGCCGCCAATCAGGCCCGCTTAGTGACGAGCTAAGTACCGTTGATATCACTTCGGCTGTCATGGCGGTGACGTGCATAGTTCGGCGCCTGTCAGTTCTCCATCTACGACTCGTAGTGGTGTAGCCGGAATACTGTGCCGGGAGCCCACTAGGTGGTTGGAGGATAGCTTCGGCATTGCCGCTTAGTTGCCATGATTTCCGATGTTCTGATGTTCCACCTAGGTGGTAGCCGTCCGTGTCGGGGTCATCCTGGAGCATGTGAAGATGATAATTCGGTTGCGACGTTGGTGATACTGCGCAGGGGCTATCGAGAATAAGAAGCGGTCGGATACGCACAACTGTCCAATTTGGTTTCAGCCTGTAGTCGTCGATCACACCGCCGCCTTGATGACGCAGGTGGTGGTCGTTGGCGCATGCTCCACCTGAGTGTACGAATTCGACCCAGAGTACACGCATTTGTATTGCAAGCTTCGTGATGGGCACTACTCTACTGTCCTAAGCGACTACCAAATCGCATGTTGTACATATGCAGCCAAGGCACGCAAGCAAATCTGGTACAGTACACAACAGACATGGACCGAGCTACCGGAAAGCCTTCCACACCCAGCAAATCGTCCTGATGTCGCAAGTGAAAAGACGGGTTGAATTCATTAATAGTAGCTTATAACGGCTCGCTCATATGACGTAATGGTGATCATAAGCCAGGCCCGAAAGTGAAACATGCGACAAAAGAAATATATATAGATACATGTGAGAAGTGCGCAGCCTCGTATGCAATGGCTGCTCGTCCAGTTCGATGCCAGACCGAGCTGGTAGAAACGCCTGAAAATGCCGTAGCCATGAAGCGCAAATCTACCCAGAGATAAGGACCCAAAGCAAGAAAACTAAGACTTGTTAGTATGTTGTCAATGTACGAGTGTGCGGGTATACGTACAAATCATCAGCACACCAAACATCTTTGCGACAAGCCACCTGTTGCCTTGCACGCGGCTCCAGTACTTCATCAGCTCACGCTGGGCACCCTCGACGTTGTCTACAACGTCTTCGGTGTTGGCGTCAATGCGCTGGATCTGTTCTCCTTGTTCGGACACCATCTGGGCGAGCTGGCTGAAGATGCCTCCTAGTTCTTGAATAGTAGACTCTATCGACTCAATTGCTCGCCCCCTCTCTTGGATGTATGCGTTCTGGGGCTGGGCCTCTTCCATGAGCAGTAGTTGTGCGTCCGATTGCGGTGCGCCTCGCGTCAGAGCTGACGACCCAGAAGGTTCGAGCGAGAGCAGGTCTTGCTGCGCTGCATTGGTATTCCGGGCGAAGCCTCCTGGTGATCGACCTCGCTGGGGTGTTTGGTAAAGTGGAGAATCTGTCCGGCCTGGCTCGAGGTTGCTGTGGGATTGCTGCGCAGCTGTTGACAGGAATTGCTCCGTGCGGGATCGCGATGCCTGCATGTTCTTTGTTCGCACCTCCAAGACGTCCTTGAAGTTGGTCCCCACGTTGGTTAGTTTGTCGGACAACAGCTTGACGACTTGGCCGTTGTGCTCTCCTTCTTGGTCCACACCGGGTTTCGCCTTGGGGTGTTGCTTCGAGTTCATCTGCTGCAGTGCCCGCACCTGGCCTGACAGTGCAGTCATGTCCTGCTTGATGACAAAGGTGAGCTCGTCAAACTCGACTGGCCGATCGTCAAACAGCGTCTTGCGCTTGGCCAGCTGTGAAAGGCGCTCGAGCTTCTGCATGGTGCTCGCAACACCCCGCGCGACGTCGGCCGCATTGCGCGCAAATTCAGAGCGCTGACGCCGGGGGTTGGCATCTGCCTGTGTCTTCTCTTGTGCTGTGAGGAGCGACTGCCGTTGCGCGCCCGTCTTGGATTGCGCTTGCCGCCGACGAGCCTGTGCAAGAATCGAGCGGAACTCGTCGGTGCGGTCCTGTATCGACACAGCCATGTTGACGATTCGTTGTGGTGGGAGGGAGGGCGAGGGCGGAAAAGGGGAGGCGCACCACCTGTGGGCAGGACAGCAGGCGCTGCGGATGCACAGGCGACGTGGAAGTTGCGCCGAGGCGGGTGGCAGATTCGTGTGCAGTCGCGGATTTGCTCAGGCCCCGTTTGCTCGAGGATCCAAGGCAGCCACGGGCGAGATGCAATTGTGAGGTGATGGCGCGCGACACGCGGTTCGTAGACGGGGCGTGCGAGAGCTGGCGGCGGCGGCGGCGGGGTTTGGCCTGGAGGAGTGACGAGAGACGCGGGATGCAGTCGTGCGCGGCGGTGGATCGGAAGCGGCGTGTTCCTGGCGAGTCGGGCAGAGAAAAGCGGAATGTGTTGAGGGTCGGGGTGAAATGGGGAATGGGGAAACGTAGTTAGTTCCGCGTCGGCCAAACTTGGACGCCCTGCGCCACACCTCCACGCCGCCATACTGGCCGTAGACCCGTCAGACCGCGCGGAGCAGCTGCGTCAAGGGGAGTTGGTCGCTAGCTCTCCTTGCTCCTCCACCGCGTCCTCTGCGCCCATCCTCGCCTGCCCAGCTGCTCCCGTCGAGTGCGCCGTTGTCGTGATCACGTCGGGCCTTTCGCACGCGCAGGCAGGTGACGTATCCCCCGGAAGCTTGGTCGAGCCCTCATCAACCCTCCCGCCCGGCTCCAGCCACGCTGTCTATCACCACTCCGGCCACCTGCACCACCACTGCCTCGCTCCCCCGGCCCCCACCGTTGTCGCAGACTCCATCTCGGCAGGCTGCCCCTCGTGTCTCCCGGTTGCATGCGCTGCAGGACATAGCTGGCGTTGGGCTCGGCCCTAGTAGAGCGAGAGCGGTGCATCCTAGCCATCTCCGGACCCTCCTACGCCATCATGTCTGGCCCCTTCCGCTTCCAGCAAGAGGAAGCCAGGTCGCCGCTGTACGTACCGCCTCTGCACGCGCATGTCGCCTGCTGTCCTGAACTGACTCGTGTTAGCGATCGGACCGCGTCGCCCTTCTCCGCCGGCCAGCCTGTGTCGTTCAAGACCAATGTCAACCGTGCCAAAACGAAGAAATGGGTCCAGGCGAAGAAGAACGCCTACGACGGCGACGACTGGGGCGGCTACGACGAGTACGACGAATACGGCGTCAACCAGGAGCCCGAGCAGCCACAGCCTCTGGCGCAGCGATACTATGCCCAGCGGACGGAGCAACCATCGCGCAGCTTCACCGACCCCTCCCAGCAGGCGCCCCTCCCACGACCCCGAAGAAATTCCTTCGAGCACGGCGAGGAACAGCGCGCCTTCTCCTCAACAATACCGCAACCCCAACATGGACACGGCCACGAGCATGAGCAGGGCTACTCTGCCATGCCCCCGCCTCTCCAGACTCGCATATCGCAGGTCCCTGCCGATTTCACCCCGCCGCTCAACACACAGTTTCCCCCGCGCAAGAGTAGCATAGGCCAGGGAGACATGC